TTTTAATATGGGAAGACCTTTTACTGAAGGTAAAAGAGTGTCAGGCATACCCTGGAGTTAGATGCATCAGAGATAATGATGTCTGTTTGTATACTTCTTGTGGAATTGTCACTAGCAGATTGTGCCCCACTTGAGAACTGATTTTTCAAAACATTCTCTCCCTTTGACATCCATGACAAAAATGCTCCTTGTTTTCCTTCTACCTCTGTGGCTGTTGCTGCTTAGTCCCATTTGCCTCCCCATATATTTGACCCTTGAATATTAGCATTCTTCACCCCATATTCTAAAACCTGGGTAAGATCATTCACTTTCATAGCCTCTCCCTCTATTTGATCCTTTAATATGGGAATTCCTTACCTTCTACCCCTGGAGCCTAGGTAGGTTCAGCCAGAGAGGTAGGAACCAGGTTATGCTAATGTCCTATAAACTCTAACATAGTTAATTACCTTCCCAATCAGACTTAAAACTTCCCAGAGACTACATGACTATCTTCCCCTTCACACTGAGGATTCCCAGAAGGTGGGGTGGCATCTCCTTTAAAACAAGAGAAAGGGGCGAACCTATTTTGCTGGGATAAAGAGATTTGGGAGATGAAGGAATGGGGGTTCTTTACCTCTTTCAAGCCTTGGTCAAGCAGCGAACCTTGGAATTAACTTTCAGTCCCCTTGCAGGTGGCTGATGGCCTGGTCAAGGTACAAGTGGCTTTGGGGAACATTGCCAGCAAGAGGGAGAGGGTGAAGATTCTGTACAAAAAGAGTAAGTGATTCCATAGGGTGCCTGCCTTCCCTCCTTCCCATACCTATGCTTCCTGGGACCTGACCCTTGCCTTCCAGCCCAGTAGGTCATTGGAGTCACTCTATGGGGACAGAATGTGAAGATATTTCCCTGCTGAAGTGGTGTCATGGGGTGTGATTTCTACTTTGTGGTTAAACTCCAAGCCCATGACAGTGTCATAAGTTATGGGATAAGGGCTCTGCCTCAAAAGTCCTCTGGTGAAGGAGGGAGGAGAGGTATAGTATTTCCACAGGCAAGGTTCAGAGGCAGGAGGGAAATTAGGCACTGAGAGCCCAGGCTTGGCTCAGCCATGCCTTTTTGATTATGTCAGAGCCAGCAACCTAGAAATCAGAAAAGGCTCTCACTTGTCTTGGTGGCACTGAGGAGCAAGTGGCCTTCCACCTTTGGTGAAGATAGGTCAGTGGGAATGCTGAGGGTTCCAGGATAGTGGAGGCAATTGTGTTCCCAGCTGTAAAGGCTGAGTTTGGCCAGGAGGTATTCACAGGGGAGAGACAGGGAGGTGGGGCCCACTGGAGGCCTGCTGATAGATATTGTGGGTGTCATCTCCTCACTCAAGGCTCTCCCCAAAGTTGATCACTAATATCCTTCTAATATCCTTCATAAGACAGATTTCCCACACCCCACCCCTATGCCATTTTCTGTCTTGCTTCTTTTCTAGTTGAAGACTTGATCAAATATCTGGATCCTGAGTACATTGACCGCATTGCCATACCTGATGCCTCTAAGCTGCAGTTTATCTTAGCAGGTAGTGCTGGCCAATCTGTGCACATGCATCTGGGGATTATGGATTATGGGGGAAGTTGGGCATGGAGATGCCTTCCCTGCCAGTCCTCTCATGGATACAGCACTGGAAGCTGCAGTCTGAAATTCTGGCCTGGCTCTTGGCTGAGGCCTGAGGTCATCCTGTGGTCTTCTAGTGAGCATTGGGTATGGTATACTTCTGAGCCAGCTGAGGCCATGGTACCAGCAACAGTGGGAACTACTTCAGTTTTCTAACAATGGTCTGCCTCTAGGATCTTCCTTCAGAACCTTCCTCACTTCTGCTCACTACATAAAGGAGCTTCTAGGAAAGGGTGGGAGCAGAGAACATTGCATTTGGGAGAGGTGAGAATATTGGCACGGGTTTCAGCATTTTCCTTTCATGTGAGAAGGCACAGGTGTTTCAGAGTTCTAGGCAGGAACTATTCACCTGGCAATGTCTGCTGCTCAATTTAGTCAATCACTCCATGAGGTAGGGTTTGCCAAGTACCTGTGTTTCTTAATTCATTCAGAAGATGTTTAATGATCATTTTCTGTGATCCAGACCATCCTCAGTGTGAGGCATACAGTGGTGAACCAGAATGCCCCTGAACCATTGCCGCGGCTCAGGTGCCAAGTTCAGGAGATCTTTTCCTATACTAACTCTGGAGTCCAGCCTTTCCTTCCCTCCCTGGCCACTGTCTGCCTGGATTCACTGAGTTTGTTATAGCAGGCTAGAGGAAGAGGCCTTAGAGTTAAAACTTCAAGAAAGGTGGTATTTGGAGAAACCTAGAGGCTCCTTGGGTTCAAGACGGGTCATACCAGAGGCATCTAGGAGAGGTGGGAGCAGAATGGGGGACTGTGCACCTAGAGAAGGGGGCAGTGAGCAGAGTAGCTGCCCCATGCTGCAGGACTCAGCCATCTACCCTGTCAGGTCCTCAGTCCCTTGCATGGAAGTAGCAGTGCCCAGGTTTGCCTCACTGCCACTATCTTGTCTGTTTATGTCTCAGAGGAGCAGTTTATCTTATCCCAGATTGCACTCCTGGAACAGGTGGAGGCTTTGGTGCCTATGCTGGACAGCGCTCACATCAAAGGTACCTCTTTAGGTCTGCAGCTCTACCACTCTGCTTGGGGAGGTGGGTGGATGGACAGGACTTCCTTGTGCTTCAGGTTCCCTGGGTTCAAGCTAAGTCTGCTCCTTGTCTTTACCTCAACCCTGGGGATACCTGTCATCTGCATTGGGATGAAAATTGCCAGAGCAGAGAATTCATTTTCAGAACCTCAGGCAGTTTGGACCTAAGGACACTAGTGTAAGTCCAGCAGCTCCCAACTCTGAGTATTCCTTTTACTTTCTACCTCACCCCTCAGCATCTGTCCTTTAGGCTGCTATATAGCCCAGATTTTACTATAAGAGTTCCTGCCAGGTGTGTGAATGTGTATAAATTCTTCCTGCCGCACTGTTGAGAACAGTCCCTGGGCCTGAGTTTTGACAAACAGACAGTGACTTTAATTGAATCCAGATATCCATCTTGTCTGTCTCTGGAGGTATTTTTTCCTGTTCCCCCTCCCTACCCCCGATCAGCTATCTGCTGAGCATTTGACAACCTTAAGCTATGGGCTCAGCATGGTGGCCAGGGCTCTGGGTGTTGGATTCTAGGTGTCCAGCTTAGGAACCTTGCATTCATCCTCAGCCCACCTTCAGGCTCCCTCTTCTAGGCAGACCTGGACCCACTGGACTGAGAGCAAAGGAACAGATCCCATAACAGGCAAAGCTTTCTTTACCTCACCCTGCTTACAGCATTGGGGTGGGGGTATGGGGCAACTCTGGGGACCCCAAGGTTTATTTTCTCCTAGGGCCCTGTATCCCCACCCCAGCCCCCACCCCCGCCTTGGGTCCGAGAGTAAGACTGGGATGGGCAGGGAGCCACACCACCACCTTTAGCTGCAGTGGTCGATGAAGCCTGGCGTTTGCTTAGCTTCTCCACTCAATACTCTAATCCTGCTGAAGACCTAATAGACTATTGAACAGTCCCGGGGGAAGGCACAAGCATCATCGGGCAGTGTGTGTTGTGTTTTACAGCCGTTCCTGAGCATGCCACCCGCCTGCAGCGCTTGGCCCAGATCCACATCCAGCAGCAGGTATGGGAGGGGAGAGGACTGGAAGAGAAAGTAGACGTGGTGAGGCTCCTAGTCCCTACCGCTGCCGCCTGGGCAAGCAGCCTCAGGCTACCCTGATGTCAGCTCCAGGGAAAACCTGAGGGTTTATCCTTTTATCTTCCTCAGCTTTAGAGAGGGAAAGGGACTTGCTTGGCCACATCGGGATGTCTTGACTCTCTGAGTAGGACTATTCTGAGATACCAGAAGATTGATGATGGGAAGTACCCAAGAATTTCTGGGGATGGTGTGTCCTTGACTATGGGTGGAGGAGCTGTTTTTTGGTTTTTTGTTTTGTTTTGTTTTATTTTGTTTTGCCATTCCCAGGCCCCAAAGTTTAAAGAGGGTTCAAATATAGGGGGCAGGGGAGGAGGACACATATACTAGCAGGAGTGTTTCCTTAAATGTGTGGTTCACTCCCCCTTAGGACTGCTGTTAGGGTACCCATCCCGGAGCCCCATTAGAAATTTCCTCCTTTTGACTCTGGGGTGAAACACTACTTTTTCTAGGCTTTATGGGCTGTGAAGGTCCCTGACAAGGCAGGAAAGTTAATGGGAAGTGGGGGCTTTATCCAACCCCTTTCTCTGCCATACGTTGTCCCCGTAGGACCAGTGTGTGGAGATCACTGAGGAGTCCAAGGCTCTCCTGGAGGAATACAACAAAACTGTATCCTTTCTGCTCAGCCAGGCCCCTGAGGAATGTTGTCCAAAGCCCTGTCCTTTTGTTCCATCTCCATCTCTGTCTCTTTCATCCCATCCCAATCAACCTGTTTCCCTCCTCCCCTACCCTTTGGCAAATGCAAAATCTCTCCAGTCCCTCACTCAGGCTTCTGTTCTCACCTTGACCTGCCACCAGACAATTCTTCTCTCCAAACAATTTGTGCAGTGGGATGAGCTACTTTGCCAGCTAGAGGCCGCCAAGCAAGTGAAGCCAGCAGAGGAGTGATGGTTGCTCCCCATCCCAGGGTGGGCCAGGACAGCCAGGTTCCAGGGCCCTGTGTTAACCTGCCTTTGTAATAGGGCAGAGGCAGGTCTGTATTTATTGGGTTCACAGCCTACTTGTCTGTATTCAGGGGCTCTGAGATCAGAGGTCTGGCTACTTGAGATTTGCTATTTGCATCCACTCCCCACATCAGTGTCCTATTCCAGTGACAATAAACTATAGAAATCACTGGAGCAGTGTGCCAACTTCCTGGTCTAGGATGGGAGTGGTGGTGAGGATGGGGGTGGTAGAAGGCAGAATTGTCAGCCTTCCTAGTGGTTGGACCAGGAGGTATTCTCATCCTGATCTGGCTTTCTGGGAGATGTAGAGTTCTCAGGACAAATGCTCTCATTTGATTGATATGAGTGGAATATTTGTTTGTGTATCCATTTATCCCACATTTACCAAGTATCCTCTAAATGTCACGTGCCATGGTAGGTGAGGAGGACACAGGTAGGGTCCACTTGATCCCTGCTCTGCACAGACTAGCTGGGGAGACAGTCAAAGAAAAGAGCAGTCCTACCAAGTGGGCACAAAACAAAAAATGGGGGAGGCAGTCCTGGAGGGTGATACGCAGGATGTTTGAGAGCAAGGGAGTAGCATGTGCAAAGCAGAGAGGAACCTTGAGGTTTCTCTCATGGGAGTTTACTTGGTGCTATTAAGCGGGAAGAGGAGCCCAGA